CTCTCTTGCGTGTCAGCTCTCCTTTCCAAAGAGGCCGGCAGTCTAGGACTCAGGGGAACCCCCAGAGAACAGCCCCCTTCTCCGCCTGGCCTTTCCTATTAGTGCCCACAGGCCAATCCAGAGAACGAGGGTCACATGCCCACTCACGTCCCAGGCGCCCGTGTCACAGGTGGCCGAGTGAGCAGAGTCGGTGCCAGGCAGGAAGTGCGTGCAGTGTGCGGTGGGCATGGACCCTGGAGAAGGGCAGCGCCCGGGCTGGGATCCGAACCAGACCCGGGAAGTGTCTGTAGCAGCAGGTGCCTCCCTGGAGGCCGTGGCCAGGCTCCACGGTGGGGCCACCCCCGCAGCCACCTGATCCTCACCGGCAGGGGTGGCCCAGCCCGTCTGCCTGGGCCCTCTGGAGGGACGTGGCACGGCCCCCCGTGGAGCAGCAGCGAGTGCAGGGCAGAGTCTCGGGGGCCTGGCCTGTGTGTGGCCCGAGGTTGGGGATGTGGCACTGCGTGGGTTTCACGATGGCAGCCCTCTCGGGGCCCACGCTGGTGACTCAGGCTCTACAACCTGTGGCCTGACCCAGCCCGCGTGGGGCCTGCAGGAGGGTGGGCAGGTCACCTGCCCGCTCTGCTGCCCCCGGCAGGCACCGCCACCCAGCGGGTTCGGTCACCAGGGCCGGCCCCTCGCACCTGAGCCCGCTGTGTCCCTGGCTGAGGTGAGGCCGTGTCGTGAGACAGGAGGCTCAGAGCTAGACACAGTGGCGCAGCCTAAATCCCAGCACTTTGCGAGGCAGAGGCAAGAGCATGCCAGACCTTGTCTCCACAGTAAACAAAAAATCCAGCTGGGCGTGGTGGCGTACACCTGTGGTCTCAGCTACTTGGGAGGCTGAGGCGGAAGGATCGCCAGAGCCCAGCAGGTCGAGGCTGCGGTGGCCGGGAGCGGCTGCTGCGCTCCAGCCTGGGGGACAACTCAAGAAAACAAGAGAGGAGGCTCGGGCCTCAGTTTCCCCCCCATGCAGGGTAAGGACACAGGTGAACTTGGTGAGTCGGAGGGGCCTGCACTCAGAGCTGTCCTGGCCCTGCTGCGTCTGCGGCTCTCGTCACCATGGAGGGCACATGCCAGAGACTCCACCACGGGAGGCCCTCATCCTCTGCCCAACCAGGCAGCGTCCCTGGCCCTGCCCGGACACCCCTGGACAGACAGGCACACTGGCCGTGAGCACAGAGGTGCTTTCTCAGAATCCCTGGATCTGCCATGGGCCATGCTGAGTCCCGAAACAGCTCTGTGTCCCCACCGCGGGGGCGCACAGGCCTGAGCTTGGTGTTCTGGGTGCGAAGGCCACGCCGCTCAGGCCCGGTGGGTGGGGCTGGCCCGGTCGCTTGCTGCCTCATGGCTGTCCCTGCCAGTACGGGGCTTCTTTGTTTTCCCCACGTTTTCATCCCTTGTCTGCTTGTGCTGGTGAGTCTTGGAGAGAAGGGACTTCACGGTCCGGTGAAGGGACATCAGGTGCGAGGCAGAGGACCCGGGGAGTTGGGCGCAGCCCGAGTGTGAAGAGCCAGGCAGATCGGGGTTTGGAGCGGGCTCGGGGTCTCTGCAAAGGCCAGGTCCTGAGTCCCCGGGGAGCGGGCAAGAGGGACGAGCCGGGATGGGGCCGTGGGAGCCGCAAGGAGCCACGGAGGGCGGCATGAGGTGGGGCCGGGCCCAGGGGAGCTGCCCCCCCACGCATTTCCTGTGCTGAGCAGGTCGGGCCAGGCTGCCCTGGCCCGGAAGGTGTGGCTTTGCGCCCCGCTGGCCTCAGACCTTCCCCGGCTTCCCAGAAAAGCCTGGCCCCCTCAGCGGTTCACTTCCCTCTGGGCAGCGGCTGGAACTCCCGTCTGGCCACAATCAAAAGAAGTGAAACTGTCCCAGGAGATACAGCAGAAGGCCCAGCACACCTAGGGGCAGCTCTCCGCCCGCCTCCAGCCGAGGGCTGTGAGGCCGGCATTCTGGGAGGGCCCAGCACGTCCAGAGCAGCTCTGGGTGGCAGCGGTACCCAGTGCCTGCCTCTCCCCTGTGCCCAAGTGCCCCCCGGACCTAGGGTCCAGCCCTCTCACAGTGGGCAAAGACGAGAGGGCTTTTAAGAAGCCTCCGAGGTCAGCAGAGCTGAAAGCCACCGACCCAAGGGGGAGGGCTCAGGAAGGGGCAGCTAGGCTAGGGAGGGTGAGGATCTTGTGGTCAGGGACGCACACGCACGCAGAGCCCGTGACACGCTCGACCGCGTTGAGCCCATTCTGCAGAGGGGAAGACTGAGGCCCACGGGCAGTTTGAGTGTGAGACCACATAGGTGGAAGGCGGTGGGGCCAGTGTCGTGCCCCAGCTCTGATCTCTCCGCAGGCCGGCAGCCACTCAGCGGCTCTGGAGCCCCAGAAGGGAGCCTAGCGGGTGGCCAGGGACAGCCCCCTTGGGTGGGGCGTGCAGAGCTGAGCCTGGAAGGGCGGTAGGCATTCCATCTGGGCCGGACCCGGGCTTCCATGAGCTCCTGGCGCGAGCTGGAGGATGCCTCCGGTGCCCAGCATGGGCAGAGCCCCAGGCAAGCTGCTCCAGCCCCCATCTCCTGCCATTCGGCACTTCCCCCTGGCGCCTGTGGTGTCCTGTGTGGTCCTTGCTGTCTCCACCTTTGTCCTGGACCCCAGTCTGCTGTGCCGATCCCCCCCCAGCACAGCCCCCCGGGGACCTGCATGATACCCCTTGGCCTCAGTTTCCTGCGCCTCAAGCCATCACCAGGGCAGGGAGGACAGGTGTGGCCCGGAAGCACACCAGCCCGGGGGCTCTGGGGTGGACATGGCCCATGTCGGCCATCGCAGGCTGTTTCTGCACGACACCTCGCTCTCCCGTCCTGGCCACTGCCACCAGAAAGGCGTAGGCCTGGCTCTGCAGTTCCGGGAGCGGGGGCTGCACACGTGTGCACACCCACGCGTGTGATCAGACACGAGACGCCACATAGGCCCGCAGACTGCGGAGACGCCAGGCCCCGTGACGGCTGGCCCTGGCAGGGACCTCGAGCCGCCTCCCCCTCGGGGCCTGCGTCTCAGGTGGGGACTGGCAGCTGTGCTGCTTCACACGAGCTCTGTGTGCTTAGAAAGCTGTCTGCTAGGAAGCGCACGGCCATCCCTTCCCCTCTCTGGGCGGCGCCCACCCACTCCCCACAAAGGCCCTAACAAGTTCCACGGTGGGAAATCCTGCTCAGCCGAGCAGGGTGGGTCCCAGGGACCTCTTGCCTTGGAGGGTGCGTTTCTGGGCAGTGCTCGGCCGAGTGGCCCCTGAGATTCCCCTGCAGAGGCAGGACTCTGGAGGGGAGACAGGCTGGGGCTCTGCACCCAGTTCCCTGAGCAGAGGGGCTCCGGTGAGCCTGCCAGCATGTGTGTCTGGAGCGGAGTACAGGCAGCGCCGGTCGAAGCGTTGGCACTGCCCTCCGGGGTGGGAATCTCTGCGCTGCCGTTGGTGGGGCGCTCAGCTCTGGGCCTGAGCGTGCGGGGCGGCCGGGGAGGGCACCGGAGGCCTGTTGGCTGGCGCGGCCATGAGCGCCCGGGGTCCAGGGAGCGCCCCGTGGGGCCTCTGCCTGCCCTGGCGACGTCTTCCCAGCACCCAAAGCCCCGGCCCGGGTAGCGCTTGGATTTCACAGTGGATTCGAGTAACCGTCCCAGGTGCCTGGGACCGAGCAGGTGTCCCTAGAGACTTGCCACTCTGTATGCCAGCACCCCTCCCCACAGCTGGGCCTCGTTCCACACGGTCACGTCCTGCCACGGGGTGACCCAGGGCAAGGCGGTGTGAGGAGCCTTCATGGCTGGGGCCCGACTGCAGAATTGAGGGTCTTGGCTGGCACGGGGTGGCGGGGCCAGCCCGGGTGTGCGTTTTGGCCCCAAGCTGCATCGATGCCCCTCTGGGCTGGGCCTTACCCTGGACACACGTGGCCAGGCCCGGCGCAGCCTGCCTCGGCTCTGCGTGAGCTCTCTGGGCTGCAATGGCAGGATGCCGCCACCTGCTCCTGCGACGTCTCCGCCTCCCGCAGCTGCTGGGTTTGCTCACGTCCCAGGCGTGGCTGCGGCTGCCTTCCCATCCCACAAGTGACGGGGAGCTGGTTGTCGTCACTGTCACCGTAGCTGGCCGTCACTGAGAACTCACGTTCAGACCCACGCCAGCTTCCTTGCAGAACTCACGGCATCCATGTGGGCTGGGGACGGGCTGTCCCTGTCCCCAGATGCAGACGCCAGAGCTCAGGGGGAACGCATCCCTGCCCCGCTCCCTCAGGTCGCCAGGGTCCACTATGGCCACCTGCACACCTGCTCAGGCTGTCGGGGCTGCCTCTCTCCACACCGGCAGGATCATTTAAGAAAGCAGACGTAAGGCCGGGCTCGGTGGCTCAGCCTGTGATCCCAGCACTTTGGGAGGCCAAGGTGAGTGGATTGCCTGAGCCCGCGGGTTCGAGACCTGCCTGGGCAACTTGGCGAGACCTCATCTCTACAATAAATCAAAAATTAGCCAGGCGTGGTAGCACGCGCCTGTAATTCCAGCTACCCGGAAGGCTGAGGCGGCAGGATCACCGGAGCCCGGCAGGTCGAGGCTGCGGTGGCCGGGAGCGGCCACTGCACTCCAGTCTGGGCAACAGAGTGAGACTCCAACTCAAAACAACAACAACAACAACAACAACACACACACACACACACAAAGAACGAAAGCAGACTTAAAACTTTCCAGAAGGACTAGGGACCAATGCCCCCTTCCTGTCTGTGGGGACGTCTGCCCAGGCGCTCCCGGCTTGTAGAGCGGCGTGTTTTCCGTTCTGTGACCAGGCCGAGGCCCTGCCCGGTGGGGCCTGTGATGGGCGCGAGTGGCCCGTCTTACACCCTGGCCCCCCGGGGGCTGCCCCGCCGAGAGGAGCGTCAGGTCCTGGGCGTGCTGTGGCACTGCCCAGCGCGACCGTCCTGCGATGGTGTCGTGACCGCTGGGCCTGCTCCTCCAGCAGTGGCATGATGGGGTCTGGGCCTCCCCCTCCCAAGCTCATCCACCTTCCCTCCCCCGTCCCCCAGCTCGTCAGTGAGAAGGTGGGAGGCGCCGAGGGCACCAAGCTGGACGATGACTTCAAGGAAATGGAGAAGGTGAGGAGGAGGGAGGCCACGCCCCAGTCAGCGTGGCTCCCGAGCGCCCGGGCCATGCCTCCTGCCGCAGCCTCCCAGGCGGACTTGGGGCACCAGTCTGTGCCCAGGCAGGCAGCGAGGGAGAGGTGGGCGGCCGGTGGCCCTCGGGTGACTCCGAGGCACGTGGAGTGGGCGGGGAGCTTGGCCCCTTAGGACTGTGAAGCCCCACGCGCTGCCTCTGCTCACAGAAGGTGGACGTCACCAGCAAGGCGGTGATGGAAGTGCTGGCTAGGACCATCGAGTACCTGCAGCCTAACCCAGGTAGGACCGTCGGCTGCCGGGGCGGCCTCCATCCCTCTGTCTCCCTGTCATCAGGGGTGTTCCGGATACCGGAGCATGAGGAGGGAACACGGGCTGACAGAACTGCAGTGCCACGGGTAGGCGGGCTTCAGGCATGGCCGGATCCAGGGTCCAAAGGCTGTTCTTGGGACCAGGCTCTTCCTTTCTGCTTCACTGGCTGCTCGGCCCCTCCCTGCGGGCTTCGTTGGCCAACGTGTTCCCCAGGCAGACCTGCCCTGAGTCCCTCTGGCAGCCAACAGTCCCGCAGAGTCCATCCTCAGCGGGCTCACGCCACCCATCGGTGCTGGCTCCCAGCCCCAGCTCACCCGAATTCAACTCGATCCCCGAGTATGGGGCTGGGTCTCTGGGTGTGGACGGGGGCCCTTTCCCAGAACAGCCGGGTGCTGGCTCTCGGGCGAGAGGCCAGGACGTGGGCCTCGAGAGAGCGCCAGGAACTGACTGAGCGGGCCGGGGAGAACCCAGGTGCGAGGTCGCGGGGGAGCCGGACTGGTGTGTCCCCAAAGAGACTGTGTGGGAGGAGCCAACCACCCCCCCGTCGTGTCCGCCTCTGTCCTCCCTTGCGGCCAAGTACAGTGAAGGGGCCTCCCTGGAGCCCACGTGGGAGCCAGGCCTTGGTGCCCAGCCCGTCACTAGGCCCGGGAAGCGGGGAGGCGAGGGTCCTGGGTGGGGTGGAGGGGGCCGCAGCCCGGGGGTGCCCGGCCCCAGAGGCCGCCACACCCACCTGCCCGTCCCGTTGCAGCTTCACGGGCCAAGCTGACCATGCTCAACACGGTGTCCAAGATCCGCGGCCAGGTGAAGAACCCTGGCTACCCGCAGTCGGAGGGGCTTCTGGGCGAGTGCATGATCCGCCACGGCAAGGAGCTGGGCGAGTCCAACTTCGGTGAGTGGGCCGGCCACAGCCCACACCTCTGCCCACGACCCTGCCCACACCTGTGCCACAGCTGGCGCCAGACCCAAGGCTGCACCCCTCGGGGCGGGTGGGGCTGGTGACCGGGAGGGGCAGTTCCAGGCCCTGGTGCCGGGGACACACAGTGGGCCCCGTGGCCTTCCTGCGCGGGACAGAGGCCCAGACCAGCCCGCGTCGGGGACGGGGTGTGGGTGGAGAGGACCCGAGGGCCCGGCAACTGTGCAGGCCGGCAGCGGCCACGCTCCCCTCCCGTGGCTTCAGGATCTTCTCCAGCGCGGGCACCCTCTGCCCCTGTGGGACCTGCCCCCCGACTTCAGCTGGCTCAGGGCACACCTGGGCCCTTAAGAACCAGAGGGAGGGCAGTGCGTTCAACAGCAGCGCCCACTTCCGTCTTGTCTGGCTCTGAGTTCCGGCTCGGGGCCTCGGTCAGAAGCTAGGGAGGCTCTCGGTCCCGAGGCCGGAGTCCCCGTGACAGCCGCCCCTGCCCGTCTCCCCAGGGGACGCCCTGCTGGA